ACAAAAGGCAGGTAGTTAAGGAAAATCGACCGAATAAAATTATAATCAACAATAGAAACAGAATTATACATAAAGATAACATCAAATATTCAATATTTTTTCCAGAAAATGTGTGCGAATATACTTATACTGACTTTTGTTATATTGACGACTTCGGAAGGAATTGACTATACGCATAGTGACTATCTATTGCTCAAAGACGACAGAGACGTTTACACTTATGAAAAATACGCTGAACTTTTCCATATTACTAATTTGAGTTTTTATAGAGAGATAATTGATAAAGAATCCAAATATGTCAACAAATCAATTAATTCAGACGATGAGTGGGAAATATCAATGGACTTAAGTCTATTAAAATTAATGATTTCAGAATTAGTTCCGAAACGGAATGAAAGGGTAATTATATAGCAGGCCGCCCTGATCATGACGACTTTTTGAAAATACAAAATAAAGTAAATGAATTAACTGAAAATAATAATAAACAATTTGTAATAAATTCCAAATTTTTCAAAGAAATTGAATTGCTATCAAATTCATTAAAAAATGTCATCTTCAATGAAGAAACGATACTGAGAAAGCATCGTTGAAAATTAATAACTTTTGACCTACTAAATTTAGTTGATACCATAACCCTCTTAAAAGTAAACATTTTCAATACAAAAATTTTAAATAAAAACGAAATAGAGGACGTTTATAAGCATGAAAAACATCCTGTTGAACTGTCTGATCTGCTGGACATTGCAACGGTTAAAATAATTCGAAATGCAGATTTAATAATCATTTACATAAAATATCCTCAAATTAAAGATATTTGCAAGTTTTACCATGCAAGAGCCATCTCACAAAATGATGGATGTTAGTTATAAGTGAAAAAGTTTGTGAATGTAAGGAGAAATACTATTTAATGAATAATTTTAAAAGTGAAACTTTTAACAATTACGCACAAATAAATTTAAAGAATACCTGTTTCACCAATTTACTTAATGGCTTTAAAGCCACCAATTTACTTAATGGCTTTAAAGCCAACTGCACTAAAAAAAGGGAAAAAAACAAAGAAATAGACATCATTCAGGATGGTGCCATATTAGTTTCAGGCAAAAATATCGTAGACAATACTACTTTGTTAGGATCCTATCTCCTTATATTCAACAACACAATTGTAATAAATAATATAACCCACATAAATGATAAGGGTAAAATTCTAAGATATATATCGCATCATAGATATAGCGATTTTGAATTAGTTGATTATATACAATCAAATGATAAGCAATTTTCTTTTGATAATGTTAATATTTTAAATCCCCTTATAACATTAGGTAATACGGCCTTACCATTAACAACATTATTTTTAATCATTTTGATATTGTTAATGTTATTTTACTTCGGCTATAAATTAACCAAATTTGTACTTATTAAATCAATAAGAATACCGTCAGAAGAAATAGTGGAAAGCAACATTCAAATACTGTCAGAAGAAATTAGAGCTCTATCAGAACTTCAAAATGTATCGGGACGAAACATTTAAGAATGGGGGGAGTTAACGTACCCAATTCCATTGAGCTCTTATACGAGTTGTAAACAATCTTTGGTTTTCCAAAACGAAAACAATTTCAATCTTGGGCCTCCGCCTAATTGATTTCTAAGATGTACAATCTCAAGCGCCCCCGCCGCAATCCCAATCTTTGACACTCGCCTAAATGGAAAACCAATGTTTGCCCACACCCGGCTTCTCATAAACAATCTCACTCCCGGCTTTCTGCAGATCCTGCACTTTAGGCCTTTTACAGTTCTCTCTTTGGTTGACGAAATCCAATACTCGGGATGGCGAAATCAATTGAAATGTTTATAGAAAAACGATTCCCGAAAGGGATCAACGATGCAAAGATCAGAAAGTTCAAATCAGTCTTGATCCAGCAGCGACACCGCAAAGTCTAGCTAAATATTAAGATCGCGCAATCCCTTGGCCCGGAATTCCTTTGTGACCCTCTACTTAAATCTATATCAGTGAAGTTCGAAGTAAAATAAAAACTTTTTAAAAACACAATCCGCTACCGCAGTTGTTTAATTTGCACGCGCATCTAATTACATCGAAAAAAAAAGTGACTTGTGTTTTTTGTTGTTTTATGTGGAACTTTAAATGTTTTTAAATACATGTTTAAACCGGGAAAATGAACTAAATAAACAATATGTGCCAAATAATTGCAAATAATGCAATATAATCATCTGTGATCGCGCTGTAATAGTGAAGCCAATAAACCCAACTGGAGGAAAGAGGAAGGAAAAGCAAGCTACTGAGTACCTGGACCAGGCCACCAAATGGACGCACTTGCTCCAAAACAGACGACCAACAAAATGGATGTTATGGATGCTATGGACAACTCGGCAAGAGCCGAAGCGGGTGGTGAGTGCGTTACTCAAAATAGTGCTACCTACATATCGACCAGGCCCCTGGGAGGGAACCCCTCCGCAAATGCTTCCCTCTTCGAACCAATGTTCGACTCAGAGGGGGATGCGGATCTGGCTGAGTTGGAGACGGACTCGCCAGAGTCCTCCTTGGGAGCTACGGTGCTGGAGTTCGAGCGTCGTTTCGTGGACAGGGGTTTATATGTTAGAAAATACCCGCCAATCCCACCAAAAACAGACGCCAACATACAAGAAAAACCGCCATCAAATACACGTACAAACACGCAGACAAAAAAAGCTCCCAGCGAAAGTGCAACGGGTTCCAAAAATAGCGGCGCTTTCGCACTAACAAAAGAGCATTTAAGTGCACATAAACAAAACAAGAACAAATGTTATGCCCATATGTTTTCGCGCCAAAACATTAGCGAAAACAAAAACAAGCAAACAACTCACACAAGCATCAGAGAGAGCGACGCTTGCGCTCTCTCAGCGTCCGAACCCTTGGCGCACAATCAAAACGGAGGCGCGTCACATCAAGCCCCAAAGCGTTTGCCGCCAAACTTGCACTCACACACTTATGACAAAAAGAGAGATGCTTGCTCTCTCCCGCCGAACCAATACTCAAACACAAACACGAACAATAAACCCCTGACCTACGCCAATAACAAAACAAAAACAAACACATTGACATATGCCGAAACCATAAACGGCATACAGAAAAACAATGACCAGCAACAGCAACAACGTTTGACGACAGCTGAAAGCAATAATACTAGCAGCTGCAGAAAATGCTTGCTGCCTACTCTGACTCAGGCGGACGAGCATAATACTCAGACAAGGCCTAGTACCAGAACACAGCTGGTAAAGGAATGGCTTAATAGCGTTCCCCCGCTACTGGCCAATGAAATGCCCTCGCCCCTGCCCCTTACCCCTATAGCAAAGGATATCCTGACAACAAATTCGTTTCGCTCGCCGCTCAAAAGAAGATGCGCGGCGATCGAAACGGATTCAGATGACGACCACTTTGCCTGCCTGGCACTTGACACGCCCATGTTCAAGAGTCAGTTTGCGAAAAGATTGCATCACGAGACCCGGCAGATGGAGTCAGATGTTGGCCAAATATGCTCACCGCTAAATAGTGAGGTTCCGGTTCCACCAAGTGAGGTTCAACATAGGGAGCCACAAAGTAAGGGGTCTGAAAGTCAACAGATGGAGACGGAAAACCATCAGCCTCAACACCAGCCAGACATCAATATAAATATAACGCCCGTCCAACCGTCATTACGCAGCACCAAGGTCCCTACAATCTTCCTGCCCCTGGTGCCTGCAATTGTACCCCTAATCAATAAATTGACAATAAATCCGAACGTGCGGAAATTCACGACGAAATCGATGGCCAACAGTGGACTCAGAGTCCAGTGCGACGACATGACAACATACAACGCCATACAGAACGCCCTTGCTGAAGATAGCACTCAACTGCACACACACCAGCCGCGCAGTGAAAGGGGCTACCGTGTAATAGTGCGGCATTTACACCACACTACGCCCAGCAGCTGGATAACGGAGGAGCTGGAACGACTCGGATACACTGCCCGGTTTATCCGAGGATTAAAACACCGTTTTAATGGGAGGCCTCTAAACATTTTTGAGGTTGAAATTCAGCCCAAGGCGGATGGCGGCCATGAGGCAATACTTGACGTTAAACAACTGGCCAACCAGTGCGTCTCGATAGTGAGACAAGCCAAGCCACGCGATCGTGGGCGTTTGGGCATACTAAAAATTATTGCAGACGGCCATTCAAGTGCATGAAATGCGCAGGAGATCACACCACAACAGCATGCAGGAAACACAGGCAGGAGGATCCTAAATGCGCCAATTGTAGCGGCATGCACGTGAGCTGCGACAAGGGATGTGCCGCCTACAAAAAGGCTCGTAGCCATCTAAGGGCAAACCGGCTCATCGGTGAGCAGCAGTATTAACAGCAACGCCAGCAGCCACAGCAGCAAACCGAGAAGCAACGCCCACAACAGAAACACAACAAACATCAGCGTACGCAGCAGCAGCAGCATCAGCAGCAGTCACAGCAGACGCAACGACAGGGCCGCCAACAACAACAACAGCAGCTAGCAACAATCAGCGGCAGCGGTAGGCCGTCGTACAGCCGGGTAGTACGTAGCGGAATTACTGAGCAGGAGCAGCAGCAGCAACAGCCACGAGCGGACAATCATCAACAGCAGCATCGCCGACCACAGCAACAGCAGCAGCCATATGTCCGTACTGTTGAGCAGCAACAGCCATCACAAAGGAAGCGGCCACAGCAGCAGCAGCATCAGCGGCAGCAGCGCGCAAGAGTTGTACAAGGGGCCAAAGCAGCACCAGCACCAACTCCAATAGCAGCAGCAACGCCCAACACCCGCAGGCCCTTGTATAGCCGAGGTGCTCAAGCCAATCCGGCCGAAAATCATTTGGCCAAGTTCCAACAGAAGTTGAGGGATGAGCAGCAGCAGCAACACCACCAGCAGCAACAAGAACAGCAAAAAACTCTCCCCGCAAATTTCCAGTCCCATGCCCATAAAGAAAATGCAGAATTTCTCTCAAGACTTGAGGCCAAAATCGATAGTCTATTTTCTGCAATAGTCAAATGAATAAATATCAATACAAATAAAACAAGCAAAACAACAAATAGCAGTTCACCAAACTCTTTGGACATGGTCCTGTCCTCCGCCAATGATGCCTTCTATGTTTAGTCCAGTCCCGAATAGCCAGTCAAACCAAAAAGTCAATCCAGTACAGACTATTTCCACCCACAGCGTCAGCCAGAACGGCAACTCTTTTAAAATTGCCTTCTGGAACGCGTGTGGTGTGACAAACAAGTTGAACGAGGTCGAAGTTTTCCTGAAAAGGGAAAAAATACAATTAATGATGGTCATCGAAACACGCACAAGGGCCGTCTCTGTGAGCGGATTCCACACTTACACTGCACAAAATCCGGCAAACGATCGCAGAGGGGGAGTAGCCATCCTGGTCCGGGACGATGTCACCCACTCTGCACTGCAGCCAATTTCAAAGCCATTCATCCAGAGTGCACCTGTCATCGTCTTCACTGAAAAGGAAAATAAAAAGGGAATTATTTTTGCGCCGATCTACTGTCCGCCTGTATTCAAGTGGGCGCCTGCCCATTTTACTGGATTAATAAGACATTTTGAAGAACTCTGCGTCGAAGAAACAGCATCCGGCTTTCTTGTATGCGGTGACTGGAACGCGAAGCATATGTGGTGGGGAAATGTCCGTGGATGCGCCAGAGGGAAAGCACTGATGGAGGCTGTACACACCAACAACGGCTGCAATTTGCTGGCCACCGGTGGTGCCACACACTATCCCTACGACAAAAAAAAGAGACCATCAGCGATTGACTTTGGAATCTACAAAGGAATCCACGACACTCACCTGAGTATCCGTTCAAGCTCGGATTTGGACTCTGATCACTTGCTGCTCAGGGTGGAGTTGACGATCGGCAGCGGTGGACGTAGACATCCTACGCCCACAGTCAGGAAACATCTGCTCCCAGCACGTGCCAATATCAGCCTGTTCCAAAAGTCGCTGGAACGGTTGATCAATCTCAACACCGAGATTAGAATAGCGCAGGACATTGATGACGTCGTTGACTTGTTTTTGAACAATATACGGGTAGCAGCAGCAGCAGCATCAACACAACATCAACAGCAGCACCCAAGCACACATCGAAGATGGCCACAGCAGCGTCAGCATCAACATCAGCAGCGGTCACAGCAACATCACCGGCACCATCACCTTAAGCTGGACGAGGCTACAAGCGAGCTGCTTTCCATCAAACAGCAGTGCAAGAGGATCTGGCTGGCGACCCGCACCATCGAAGCCAGACGAAACTACAGGGCGGCGCAAAATCGTCTTAACAAGGGGCTCACAATCCTGAAAAACAAAAACATCAACAAACTGTTCACAGGGATTGACAACAAAGACCGCTATCAAATGCAGAAACTTTGGAAACTGACCAGCACAATCAAAAGACAGCCGCAGCCAAACTGGCCACTGAGGCTGCCAACTATGACCGGAGGCAAGGCAAGTGTCTCGTGGACAAAGTCAACAGCCGAGACAGCCGATGCCTTTGCTACTCACCTGGAGGAGAGATTCAGCCCGATACTGTCCAATTCAGATGAAGAGCGGGCCGCAATCAACAGAGAGCGTGGGCAGAAGCAGCTACAACCGGACTAGGAAACCAGGATTCCCTTCAGACCAGTCACACTGCCTGAGCTGATGCAGATTGTGGATGCATTGGAGCAGTCCAAATCACCTGGGGGAGACAAAATCAATAACAAACTGATTAAAAATTTGCCAAAATAAGCGCTATTATATTTAATATTAATATATAACTCCATTTTCAGACTGGGCCACTTTCCAAGTCAGTGGAAACATGCCCAGATTAAAATTATTTTAAAGCCGGGCAAAAACACAGCAGACATGTGTTCCTACCGGCCAATCAGTCTATTATCTGGCCTTTCAAAGATCTTTGAAAAATTGCTGATGGCGAGACTGTTTGAGGTGGAGAATTTTGCCAAGGCCGTACCCAATTACCAATTTGGATTTCGGCGGGAGCATGGCACTGAGCAGCAGCTGGCTCGAGTCACTCAATATTGTAGTATGTGCATATATTGAGTGTACACTGTACCCAATGGTTAACAATAAATGTATCAGCAACACATTGTTGCAGTACACAAACAAAACCACTTCAAGTGAGCGTGCAATATGATCGCCGCTTATGCGCTAAGCTAAGTCAGCATTCCCACGCTGACCACTTGAAGCATATATATATACACATATGTACATACGGCTCTTGCCCTCTCGATTATGCTGATAAGACAAATATGTATGAAGCCGCTCCGCTGTTGGCGTAACCGGCAGCGCAGCTATGCGGTCTGAGTTATAAGAATAAATTCAATAAAGACATTCAAAAAACCGAAGTCAAACGGCACAGACGTGCCAGTGTTATAATTACAATAGTGACATATTACATGGCGACCGTGACAAGTGTCACGAACATGTAGATGTTCGGAAACAAAAATATGTTCAAATAAATCATAAAAAAAAAAAAAGCGGAGAGCGAGAGCGAGAGCGGACAACAACAGCAGCACCACAGCAGGCACCACTGGAAGCAGCAGTAACATCAAAAAAAAAATTAACAACGAAATGGAGCGGAACTGAACGCAGTAAGTAGAGTGGTATGTGTGGCAAAAGAGGCGGCGTAGTAAAACGCCTGAGAGCCAGAAGGGCAACACTACTCAAACTGCTAAATAGCAACGATAATTTGCCGTGGAGCACATCTGTGAAATTACACACAGAGCTCGATCACATCAAATTGTTGCTAGCAGAAAAGAAAATGAAAGAGCCAATGCACACAACCACCTACACTGCAATACAAAATATCAGTAAAATATTAATCGTAACTCCACCACCCCAAACGACAGAAATAGCAAAGGAAGACCTGCCCGAACGACTGCGAGGGACCTCTACACTCGCCGCATTGCGAGTACACCTGTGCAGCCTGCACCGGTGCCCCAACAGAGAAGCAGTAGCAGCCTGTGCAGCCAGCACCGGCCTCGTCTAGCGCAACAAGCTAGACCCGGAGCAGTGAACCGACAGCGCTTCCTAGAGCGCCCACCGCCAAACAAAATTTTTTTTTCTAAATGCCTGCGATGCATACAACTTAACTGTAAGATCTAAAATTGTAAAATTGAGCGGAATAACATCTGCCCAATTAGAGTGAGGCCTGTAAAGCCACACAAACACTAGGCAGAAAGAAATGTAAAAACTGAAAAAAAATATATATAAATTATAAATTAATTTCAACAATTAACAAAGAATTTATACAGTAGTATAAAAGAAAAAAAAAGGAAATTTGTTTTTGTATATACATATATACCCATTGTTTACACAATGGGTTTAGTAGATGTAAAATCGGTAGATTCGACAGCGAATGTAATAAACAAAGTCGAAGTCAATAACACCGACCTAAAGTTAATAACAATACTTATTGCTATTATTTTCATTATAATCATAGGCCATCTATTATATAAATTGTATAAACTACATAATAGATGCATAGAGAAACGCTATCAAAGCCGGGCAGATGACCTGGACAAAATTTAAAACAAATTTATAATGGTAACGAAAATTGGCCAAAAATAAAAGAAAAAGTCCAAAACGAATCATGAATAAAAATATATCATTATTTGATTGAAAACCTATAAATGTTTTTGCACATTTTAATAATTATTTTAAAATGAAATGGAATGGCAAAATATTAATGCCGCATTAGTTAAAATAAAAGAAAATTTTGATAAATCATACAAGTGTCTAGCACAAAATAGGAATATTTCAAACGAAACTATAAGTAGACACGCGACAATATTAGTTGCATGTTTTAACCAAGCTCGTTCCCTGATACACGACAATAAAGAAAAGTTAAATACTCAGCATTGGTCGTATGTATCAAGATTTTTGAATAGATTAAAAACAAATTTAAATAGCATCAAATCAAAATATTCACTAGACATAACTATACCTTCGATTTTGAATACTCCAGTATTAGTCGAGGAAGACACAAACACAGATTTAGAGGGCGAATCTGAAATCGCAAGCGGTTCAGATACACATATAAAAGAAGAAGACCTAGGCGACCTTACGATACCAGCGGTAATCACACTAACCAATCTAGTTGATTCTGAATCAGAGTCTATTACTGAAGTAAAAACTCTAAAAATGGCCATGTCACAACTAGAATTTCTTAAGCTAGCCGCTTCACTCATACCTGAGTTTAGTGGAAAGCCTGAGAATCTACAAAGTTTCATTGATGCTCTTAGCTTAGTGGATTCACTTAAGGGAACACATGAAACTACAGCAGTCAACCTAATAAAAACTAAACTCAAAGGCCATATTCGAAACTTAATCACCACTGAACAAACAATAGTGTCCATAATAGACAAACTAACAAGCGGTATAAAAGGCGAATCAGCCAAAGCAATATCAGCTAAATTGTTCAATCTGCAGCAAAAGCAAAAGACGGCAAGTCAATATATTCAAGAAGTTGAACAGTTGACAAGGGCTTTGCAATCGGCACATATGATTAACGGTGTATCGCAAGAATATGCCGAAGAATTGAGCCTACAAGTTGCTGTAAAATCAATCATAGGAAACAGCACAATTGACGAAGTTAGGTCTGTAATGAAATCACGAAATTTCAATACAATGAGTGAGATTACAACTGTGTTCGTCGATAGTTGCACAGACGCAGTAGGACACCCAAATACAGTCCTATATGCTGCACAACCGAGATATAATACTAACCGAGCGTATAACCGCGGAAACTACCGTGGAAACTACCAAAATAATAATTATGGCAACAACAGAGGTAGAGGCCAATATAGAGGAAACTATAGAGGCCGCGGTAACTCATACAGAGGCCATAACAATAATAGTGGCAATAACAACAATGTGAGAATTGCCCAGAATGAATCGGGAAACTCACAACAGCCCTTAGGTACGCAGCAATAGACAGTAAAAAGGTTCATTCGATTAATCTTAGTATAAATATATTCGTAACATTCACAAACGTAGCTACAGGCAAGAAATTAATATTTTTGATAGATACTGGTGCAGACATATCTCTGTTAAAAGACAATTCAGACACTTTTAATGACATAAACAAAAACAACAAAATAAATATCCAGGGAATTAATCAAGGATTAATTCAATCTAAAGGAATGACATCCTTAGAAATACAAACAACTAAATATATAATTCCACACAACTTCCATATTGTCGAATCAACTTTTTCTATACCGTGTGACGGAATTTTAGGAATAGATTTTATTAAAAAATTTAATTGTCAACTAGATTTCACACCTTCAAAAGATCTGCTCATAATAAGACCAGACAATCTAAACTACCCTATTTATGTTCCCATAAATCACAGCTCTGGTAACAATACAATAGTGTTACCAGCACGATCCGAAGTTGTCCGTAAAATTGAGTTAACTTCAAATGAAGATAGCATTTTTATTCCGAACCAGGAAATTCAACCTGGTATATATGCAGCAAACACAGTCGTAACAACTGCAAATGCATTCGTCCGTTTACTTAATACAACTAGTACCGACAAAATGATCAATATAAATAAGTTGAATTATGAACCATTAGCAAATTATGATATATCCGAAATAAATAATGAAACTAGAACGAACGATGTTATATCAAAGTTATCTAAAAATTTTCCAAAACTATTTAATAAACAATTAAAAGAACTTTGTTGTAACTACGCAGACATATTCGGACTTGATACCGAATCAATAACAACCAATAATTTTTACAAGCAGAAACTAAGATTAAAAGATAAGGAACCTGTATATATAAAAAAATTATAGAAATCCTCATAGTCAAAAAGACGAAATCCAAGCTCAAGTCGATAAACTAATCAAAGATAGAATAGTTGAACCGTCAGCCTCAGAATACAACAGTCCACTTTTACTAGTACCAAAGAAATCCATAGACAACAAAAAGAAAAAATGGCGATTAGTAGTTGACTATCGCCAAATTAATAAAAAATTACTATCCGATAAATTTCCACTTCCTAGGATCGATGATATCTTGGATCAACTAGGAAGAGCAAAATATTTCTCTTGCCTTGACTTAATGTCAGGATTCCATCAGATTGAGCTAGACGAAAACTCTAGAGATATAACATCCTTTTCAACGAGCAACGGCTCTTATCGCTTCACGCGATTACCATTTGGTTTGAAAATAGCTCCCAATTCATTCCAAAGAATGATGACTATCGCATTCTCTGGACTTGAACCATCACAAGCATTCCTCTATATGGATGACTTAATAGTAATCGGTTGTTCCGAAAAACACATGCTTAACAATTTAATTAGTGTTTTTGACATGTGTAGGAAACACAACTTGAAACTACATCCTGAAAAATGTTCATTTTTCATGCATGAAGTCACATTTTTGGGCCACAAATGCACAGATAAGGGAATCTTACCAGATGACAAAAAGTTTGACGTCATATTAAATTATCCAGTCCCACATGACTCTGATAGCGCTAGACGTTTTATAGCATTTTGTAATTACTATAACAAGCATATAACAAGATTAAATAAAAAGAATGTTCCATTTGAATG